GAGTTGTGCAAATATTCCCGAATAGTGCTTTGTACTTTTGATGTTAAGATATCGTTATAAGGGACTAATGTTTTGTTATCCTAAAGATATAGTTTTGAGACTGGTAGAGAAATGAGACAGAATTATGACATAAAACCCTTATTACTAATAATTTTCAGTGTGGTTTTCATAACACCTAAATGATATTGCCACGTCAATGCTTATAGGTCCCGTTCCCAGTTTGTTTTCAATTATTTTTTAATAACAATTACGTGTTGGATCACGCGCTTCCCACTTTTTCGCGCGATTCCTGTGTTGCGTAAAATCTGCGGAGTTAGTGACGTCATTTGTCCCTGACTTTGTAATTAAAATGAAATAAAATTGAGTAGACATAGAAATCACATTTCGTGTTTTGTTGAGGAAGGTTGCGGAGCGCTAGTTACTGTGTGCTTTATGTTTCTTTGTAGGTATTTATTAACTCATACTAATCATTCTAATTAAAGTACGCAAAAAGGACACTTTTAATGTATCTGTCGTAGTCAACTCTTTAAAATTGTCGATCAACCAATCAGCTATCCCTTGATCGCTTTCTTTGCAGTTCATAGTTCTACCTAACGTAACCTACCATTCAGGTAGCAACTCGTTTTTCATGACAATCTATTCAACCTTCAACTTATAGACTGAATAAAATAGACGACCTGCCATTCATGCCGTTGGTCAGTGAAGCTAGGTGCTCGATCTAAAGTGTGATTTAAATGGAAAAGAACGAGCAAGAAACTCCATCGTTACTCTTTAACTAATATAAGATACCCATGTGTGAAAACAACGTGGAAAACAAGTTGTTAGAAAAAAAAGAACAAATCAACGAATGCTTCTATAATTATAAACCTTATGTTTTAATAATAAAAAAAAGATTTGTTTGATGCCACAATCAAGTATTCTTTAGACGCCGAGGTAGCTTAACACCAGTATGAAGCTGGGACGGGCCTCTAGTCTCTAACACAAAAACCTTTAAAACATCGATACTTACAAGTATTTATCCATAACTATCGTAGCTTTATCACTAGCAGTTTTAATCGTCTAGTATCAGTATCAGTTAGCGACATTACTATTATTGTAATTGTAATGTATCGATGCGGCGCCTGTCACGTATTGTCTCTATAAACGTGCCACCAGCTTGGTTGCTCTTGCTCTCTATCTTAATTATTGATGCTCATTAACTAATTATGTGTTTAAATTGCGATTAGAGACTTACTCGTTTGGGATTGTTTGGGGTAATTAGAAAGAAATTTGTGTTTTAAAAGTATTTAGTACGGATGTGCTGAATTATTTATTTATTTATTTAATAATTTATGTATACACAAACAGCACAGAGGAAAATACATAAATAAAATAAGAGTACATAGGTGCTACTTATTCCTGTTGGAATTTCTTCCAGTAGACCTGAGAAATGTAATTAAAATATAAGACACAGTGTGTAACAGAAGAGAAAAAAAAGAACTAACGATAACAAATAGGTAAAATATATATATAAATATTAATAAGTACTTAATATATAATAATAACAATAAATAAGATACACATATAAATAAACATATCTATAGGTACTCATGAAGAAAGGTAATGGTCCTTAATTAGTTTTTTTAAGAGAGCGAGCGATTTAACCTCACGAATGTTAGGCGGGAGAGAATTCTACAGTCTCACAATTATTTCTGTTCTATAATTTGTAAGTGTTGTAAGTTGTTGTCTTTATATTAAGTATGTTTTTTCCATTTCGTATCTCATTTCACCGTATTTTGAATGCTTTTTTCGTGTAGGTAACGCATATAATGACATCTTTAAATTGGGCTATAAGGAGTGGGAGACTGATACAGACTAAATGTCTGTCTGTTTCTTCCACTGCACTGGGGCCGCGGTATATTATTTTGCTTGACCCGCAACATCAGCCCCTGCTGAATATCAGCCCTATTGGACCCCATCTGTGTTAGTCTATTGGGTCTTTAAGGCCAATGCGGATCGCTACATGCTGCCTGGTTCTGGTCGGGAGTGCCTTAGAATGTTTAACTATGTTTTTTTCTTAAAATAATGTACTTAATGAGTTTTAATTATCTCTTATACAAACTCGTCTTCGATCATTCTCCCTGACTTTTCTATTTCTCAACTCCTTACTTGAAGATGCTAATCACCTGTAGTTAGACCTTCATAGGTATAATAATACCTTTAATAACATTAACCAAGAAATGCTATTATTATGTCCATTTTAACCCGTCACATGTATTTATTATTTAATTAAAACTGTCACACATGGCCGTGCAATATTTACATATTTACGGCACAGAAGTCATGTTACACGCCATGTTGTGACGTCATAATACATGTTGTGTGCCACGAATGTTGGCGCAGTCCAATCTAATTAAATACAAACAAATAATAATATTAAATTCTAGAAAGAAAACATTCTTAATGAACTTGTAATGACGTCAATACCTTTAGATATTTTTCGAATCAACTCGATCTGATTTGAATATTTATTTTTATATTTTAAATACTTAAATAACATGAGTTAGCATTCCTTTTCTTTTTTTATATATAGGTGCAAAAAATTACGGACACACATTTTAAGTAGCTGATTATTTCTATATTTATATTGTTACTAAATAAGAACCGTACTTACACAGTTACACCCTAGGGGGCTCTACACGAGTGCGAACGTTTTGTTCTAAACATTTGAATAAAATTGCTCCACGTGTACGTCCTACTACATAAATAATAAAGTAACGAATTAAGTGTAACATAATGAACTTATGAGTCTTTATATCTGAGTCCTTGTTAAAAATCCGTCAACGCGTTCACACCTCCTCTGGTGTTTTTTTTTAGAAATGCGGGAAAGGGAAGTGACTCAAATGAAGAAACCATTTGATGAAAAAATGTTTTAATTAACCTTATCAACCCAACCGATGCAACCTTCAAACTTTAAAGAAAAGAGGGTACTACGTTTTGGTCAGCAGGCTAGGCCTGGACCTGGACTACTTACTATAGTGATATGGGTGTCAATCGGTGACGCTGATCTCTTAACTTCTATTCCATAAAAAAAGCTTCAGTTTTATCTTCTCCACAGTCCAACACCTTTTTCTTAAAGAAGACGTGTTCCCGCAGGTACTTGTATTTTTTGCTGCATACTTACATATTTCTGAAAAAAGAAACCTTAAGGCCCCACTTTATAATATTTTCTCATGTGTCGTGGGTGCGTACAAACATACAAATGAGACCCACGCCCGAAACAACAATTTGTTGTCTACACAGAGAGTAGTTCCATGTAGGAATCGAAACCAAGACACATTGTACAGCAGCCAGTTGCTCAGCCAACCATCTGTAGTACTTCTAATCGTTTCTCTCGCTCTAAGATGTGGAATGTCGACACCTGATACTTATTTACATAAAGATTTCACTCGACCTTCGGCTGCCCTTGTTTTGCTAAAATATTTGCCACGTTTTTTATTGTTTTCCTACCAATGGTCCTTGTGCTTATTGGAATGGTTTTGAAGGCCATTTTATCAAGGACAATTTCTCTTTAAACTTGAATGATATCAAGCGACGGTTGTGATTTTAATCGACTGTACTTTTCAACATTTTCCTTTGACTTTTGTAATTTTAATAATTAAGTCATATATTTCTTCTAATATTGTTCTATCGGAATATAATAACTTAATAATATTGCTACTACAACAATTAACACAACCCCGAGCGTACGGCGCGTAGCGTTCCGCGCGCGCCTCAAAGAGCCAATAGACCACCACAGACGGGGCCCTAAAGGGCTGATGTTCAGCCGGGGCTGCGGGGTAAGCGCAATAAGGTACCGCGACCTCGGCACAGACCAGGAGAAGGAACAGGGGGGTTTTTAGTCAGTAAGAGTCTGACACTCCCTCCTGCCCGGCCCTGGGCGGGAGAAGTCATTTGATGATTTTCCCCTCACAAAAAAAAAAAAAAAAAACACAAGCAATTAATTAAATTCTACATCGCATTGTATATTTTTTACAAATTCCAAGAAATCATTTCTATAACTTTTTTTTACACAGCATATCCAATTACTTTCGACCCATAGACAAAAAGTAAAAAAAGACAAACCTTCATCCCTATTAAACCTCACTGAGGCACACCTACTTCCTAAAACCCGCCACACGGCGCACACACGAACATTAAAAAACGTCACGTTTTTGCACCCCGCGTCTTCCTTCGGAAGTAGCACAGTTAGAAAGAGAAAAGCGATGGTTATTTTTATACGGGGGAGCGAGAAAGAAGTCGTGGGAACCGCAGGGGTAGCGATATCCCATAGGATCATTGAAGTGGGACGGTCAATATGACCCTACGGTGCATGTGTCCGTCGGGACCTCACTACAAGTCCCGTAGTAGCACCTGTGCGATGCTTATCGCTAATTTATGCGACAAATGGCGAATCCGTTAATAAAAGTTTAATTACAGGTGCAAAGGGTTGGACTATTAAAACTAGTGTAATTATACTGTTCGAAAATAATTTATTTTTCTCTTTTTCCGCAAGCGACGGTTATTTACACGATATGTACATTATGGTGCACGGAATCAATTACGTTATTTCAATTATATTTTATTTTTTTATTGATTTAAGTAGGTATTTCTAGTTTTTTTGACGCAGTGAATTAAAACATTTTTAGCCTTTTCTTTCGTTATGATTTCATGCACCTCATTTTAGCCTACAGATAATGGGCTATTATTATTCAATTCACATTTTATAAGGCTTACACAATTATTGAAAGTTTCACAACCTTTTCATCTTATTAATATACTATTTAAAAATATTACTAGTACAATTTTAAGAACATTGATATCAAAAATAGGAAACCTTATATAGAAATGCAACTTCTTCCGACTCGACATATTTAAAGCTCAGTTTTTTGGTCCCAAAATACAGCTATATAGTTTTATATATATAGTGACTGGCAATAAACTTATACAATATAATATATAACTATCACACAACTTACAAAATAATATTTTATATAAAAATATTTTACAACAGTAGGTACAGTCTCCAAAAATATAATTTAGATATTTTAAACTCTGAGATCGATACAACAAGGTCCTGTGGCTGGGGGACATAGAATGGAATTACATACACAGTACACTTTATTTCTTGAAACCATTTACGGAACGAATTTAGAGAGGACGGGGTCAAAAGCAATGCAAGGAAAGGTCAAAGCACTCGAGTGGAATGTCAAAACCCCTTCAAACAGTCGGTACGAAAGTGCAAAGTGAGCCTTTGAAAGCAAAACGGTTCGATGGACCACTGAAATGTACTCATTCTTTGTTATCCAGCCACAAGACAATAATTCTGATAAGTATTATAATTTGTACACTCCTAATAAGCTAGTTCAGCACCCCACGGCCTGTAGGGCTTCGAACTGTTCTGAGAGTACTGATGATGAGGTGGATGGTGAGGGTATGGAGTTGGATAGTGGGGAGCTGGAGGTGCAGGGTGCGGACCAGGAGGTCCCGGGGGCGCAGGAGGAGTAGGGTAGTGAGGATAACTAGGAGCAGCTGCTAAGGGAGCAGCGATCGCTGACATGGCAGTTGGTGCTGCTACTGTCGTCGCCGCTGATGTCACTGGTATGTCCTGTCTGGGCCCTCCTAGATCTGTATACCCGTGCTGCGGCTGAGGGACTGGTGTAGTGGGATATTGCGGATATCCCCAGTTCGTTGACTTTGCGGCTAGTTCTCTTTGGGCGGCGAAGCACTGGAGATGGCTCATAAGACGCAGTCGCAGAGGGTCTTGTATATCTAAACCTTCGCAGCTGACTAGATACCGCGCCACCTCAGCGGCACACTCCCGAAATCCGATATTGTGGTAGTCCATCGCATAGCGTTGAGGGTCGTAAGCAAATGTATCGAGTCCTGAAACAAAGGGAAGTAGAGGTTAGACAAATACATACATTAATAGTAACATCGGTTTATGACGCAAACGTACAATATTAATTCTCTGCGTTGCGTTGAAAATTTAAATACAGAAAGTGCTCGAGGGGAAAGCGGCATGTTTCATTTAGAATAATTAACGACATTTATAATGATTTCTGCTGTGTTTTAAGCTCGTATTGAAATATTTTATGTTCATTTTAACCCATCGGACGCTGCAGATGTTGTTTTACATGTAAATAGAAGTTAGACAAAGGTGCCTCCGGATAAAGAATTGAGTTCGTTCTGGAAGCGACCCTCCAGTCACCCTTGTGATTGTGCAATAAGAAAGAGACGGCAGATGCATTTTCGGTCACGTGTGTAGGAGATGCAAAATCGTAGTATTGGTAACGGGAACCCCAAGTTTCCGGTCGTCTTCCGATAGGGATGGAGACAAATACAAGATGAGCTCTCCGACCCTTGGCGTTGTAAGCAAGATGTTCGAGAAAAAAGGTGCTCCATTGATGAGCGAGAGGTCAAGGTGTGTGGTAACTTGTGTTGCCAGTGTGCCACCGGGCCACGAGACCGAAGGGTGAAAGAAAACTGCTTGGAAGTAATTTTTTACAATTACTGAACCAGTTTAATTTCTTTTTGATGTTTTTGCGTTGTCTGTGTAGCGTTTCTTTATGTTTTTTGTTATTTGCTGTACAGTTGTGTTTGACCTCTATTTTTTAATTTATTCTACATCCATCTGGATTGGAAATACTGTATTATGGATTCAAGCTTTTGTAAAATGTTTAACAGCTTATTTTTGTAACCTCGAAGTAAGAGAGAATTGTTTAATAGGTATGCTTTTCTTTGTTTCGATTTTCATCTATTTTAAATTTATACTTTTGTTTTTTTGTATATTGATTTCTGTATATTGATTTCAATATAATGTAAATCGTATTTTTTACAAATCCATGTCACATTAAATTTTAATCTACCTTTTGTTAACAAATCTCATCCCGACTGAAGTATACAATTGTGTTCACTTCCTCCTTCCTAGGATCGTTTTGTTTGTGTGTGCGCAGGCGCAGGTGCGACAACCCTTTGCGTTAGAATCGCTTCCGCTTGTCACGTGGAGTACAATACACGCGTCACGTGATCACTCGGTTAGAATGTAGATTTAGAGGTTTTAGCTTTTTTGTGAAGAGAAAGAAATTGGTGTAATTATATGTTCAAAAGGTTGGTGGATCCGGTATGAATACTTTTTGGTCACGTGAGAGCCGTGTTTCGGCACGATAAGGGTGGCTCGCCCGGAGTGATACCACAGCCTCACCTAAAATCGACGTGAAACAATAAATAACCTCAAATCACTAAATCACCAATACTCCCAAACCGGCAACGCGGTTGCAACACGTCTAGTGTAGCGGGTATGACGGCGAAAAAAATGCATATTTACAATTTTGTTTTTGGCTAAAACGTAGTATATTTGTTTGATTTTACTTCACGATTTTTATCTATATTTAAAAATTAATTCCTATACGAAAATAATAGGAACCATTGTTAATATGGCCACAATAAATACAATCCCTTAGTCACCCACTAATTCCCAATCACAGTAACATAAGTTGCGATTAATTCCCCCTCGGGGTCACTGTATCAACGTCCCTTGCCGTTTAGTGGCTAGCAGGGTGAGAGCAACTCGATTTACTGTTCCCACGCACCCCAAACAAAGTCATTTATATGCTTACGTATTGATTGATGTTAAAATAATCTTATGTGTGGGTGTATGTGTGTGTGAATAAATGCTATAGATTTTTAGTGGGAAAATAATGTGACTTTAAATTAATAAGTATTTTGTTTTTTTTTTGTATTAATGTTTCTGTGGTGAGTAATAAAAGTCAAAGTCCTTTAATTTACGTAAAGATTTACAATTCTCTTACAATACGTCCTTTTCTATCTTCCATTACAAAGTTTTTTTTGTAAAGCAACAATTTAAATAAGTACAATAATCTACCGAATCCAAAAGTTATTTAAAAACACATTATATTATCCACTCGGATACCACACAAAGCCCATATGGGCAGTAAGTGTTTGTTGACCGCCCGCGTACCGCGGCCTGCGCGTACGCATCATTTACGTCACACCTGGCGCCTACAAAAACTCAGGAAGTCGCTAACAGGATTGTGCTGATCCAGTTTTTTTCTCACTCACGCTGTGTGTGGGAAAAAGAGATGGCACTAGTGAAGGAATATCGATACAGTTGATAGGGTGTCAATGTTGAAATCGATAGGAAATTGATGAAGTGACATCATTTGATATCATTTGGTAACTAAAAAAAGATTATAAGGCGCTATAAAGGGCCCTTTGATGATGATTCACGAATGAGGTTCTTACTAGCAAAAATAGTGACTAACAAATAGAATAACATATACATGTTATTGTTTACAGAAGGTCCTATTCTGAATTAAATTTACATTTTTCCTTAATAAGGATCAGATTCTATTCAGCTTAAACCTTTAAGTCAAGTATAATATTTTAAGCAATAAACTCGAAGAATAGCGCATCTGGTTTTGCGTTTAAACTTTTTCAAACAAGTTAAGTTACTTGTAAAAGTTTTACCGTACGCCTTATATGATTGGTCCGCGTTTGCCCGTCTGGATACTGACCTTTCAATGGCGGACATGGTCACGAATGGACGACAGCCGCCCATTGTGGCCGGAAACTACTTCGAAACTAAAGAGGATGCGGTTTTTCGTATACAAAACTTTATGGTGAATTGTGAACTACTTTTAAAGTTTAATGGCTAACCGCAAATTGATTGTGTACACACACAATCCGTTGGAACGGAAGGATGGGAATATTATTTCGATATTTTTACATGACAATATTTGGTGATTGTTGAATTTTTATTTTTAAAAGCAATCTTAGACCTCCTTTAATTTTTTTTATGTTAGTGATTCTACTGAATAGATTTTAATTAACTTCACTTTAAAAATAGTATCGATTACAATGAGGTTACAATGCAAACTCATTTTTTTTAATCTCCGCGGGATCATTTACACGGTGATAGAAAAACTGTGGCGCGTCCACCTGCTCGCTTCTGGACCCGGAAGGGATCCGTGGGAACATATGCAAGAGACCATTTGGCGATGACAGAGATAGCACTATTATAGTGGAACAGCTGACTTTGTTTATACGGGGCATCGTAAATTTAAAAGCGAATTTACGAACTTGCTTTAAAATTTGGTGCATTAATATTTTTGTGTTTTTTGGTTTTCATAGGTTATATAAATATATGTATTTATTGATAAAAAATTCCAAAACTATCCACTTACAAATTACTGAGTTAATTTGGAGATATAATGAAATAAAATTATATTAAAGAAAAACATAACTACTGATATAAAAGATACAAAATTAATATTAATTACTACAATCACTGAATAAAAAATCAATCAAAGCAGTAATCGTCAAATCAAATACGTTTCTCAATTAGGTCAAAGATTCTCGATAAAGTGCCAGAAAATAAAACCAGGTCATTGCCCTTTTTAATAATATAACAGCAAACTTTGTCTTATTAAATTGAACGCACAATATCTTGACTTTTAATGAAACATGATCAATCAATTAGTGCGATCATAACCCAATTAATATTGTTAATGAATAACAGAAAAGGGTCGATACAACCTTTGATTACTATAAGTTGATAAAATATTCGGTAATTACAAGATTGACATCATGTAAAAGATCTTTTCACAAAATTATAACATTGAAGAAACTTGTAATCTTTTGAATTAATAAGTTGGTCTAAATCTGATAAATGGACCTAGCCAACCACAATCTCCCAAAACACTGAAACACCAGTAGGTCAGGATCTGCAGTAGATACAACCATGAAGACACCGAAGCATGGAAGGTACGTGATCTGTCTTGGAATCCGCAACGAAACAAATAAGAACATACGGGTGCAATGCTGAATTTGCTCTACTAAATTTTCACCTAAAAAGCCTTCCTCTTCAATCACACTATCTTTTAAAAAAGAATTATCAAAATCGGTTCATAAATGACGGAGATATTGGCGAACAAACATAAAAAAATCCACCTTTTTGGAAGTCGGTTAAAAAACCGCATCGAAGTCCGTTGCGTAATTTTAAACATTAAAGCATACATAGGGACAGAAAAAGCAACTTTGTTTTATACAACATACCTATGTAGTGATGAAAAGAAAATGATATTATTTCTTCTTCCCTCGATGATATTAAAGCTGGATAGTGGTGTTTTATAACATGATAATTCCTTCTTATGCTTGGGTAAAAAGTGAATCCCTTTTCATAGTAATCATTTACAGTTAGGGTGCAAAACCTGTTTCATAATTTCTATTTCAATAAAAGGTACAGTTGCAGGAATCACAAAAGACAGGAAAAGCGAATCACAATTCGACGCTTTTGCTTTTTAACTTGTTTTTAGCGAATCACCGTTACGGTTCCATCTTTTATTAATTCGCAGGAAACGGAAACGTACCGGGCAGGTTTCTGACAATTTAATTATTGCGTAACTTACCTACACACATAACGGCCACAATTTTACTTTTTCGAATTTTATATTTTTAACCATGTTCCTTTTTTGTGCATTTGTATGATTCTTTCTGTCTTTCCGGTCGTGTTTTGTTTTTTTTTGTGTATCGAAGGTTTATTGTATATTTCAGTAAAAATGAAAGCTTTTTTTGTTTAGACAACATAAAGCAGTAATTAATTATAATTACAGTTTGTGAACAATCACAATTTTCGCTATTGCCTTTTTACTAGGCTTCGTTTTGTACTAAAATATTTTTTCTCTTTTTTTCTTTACATTTGTATCCCAGCCAACGAAGTTAAATGTTAAGAAATAATGAAATAAAGAAATTGTCCAGACAGACCTAAAAATCTTTGAAACGCAATAGTTCTAATAAAATATTTCAATTATTATTCTAGTCTAGAGATCGCGTTTCTTGACCTGAATTCTATAGAGCCTCTCGACAATTTTATTATCACGAATACATTTTTGAGATAGTCAAAATTCGTAATTGGAATACTAAGCTATGGATTTTCTAAATGAAACTTGATATAATTATATAAGGTCCAAATTGCCGTTTTCCCTTCAAATCGTGGAAAAAAATCCTTATAAATCTATGATTGAGTATTATACTATTCTTTTAATTCGCCAAACACCAAGCGAACGGCGTTCACGAAGCTATTAAGATTGTGCTTCTATTGTTTCTCGAATCATTGCAATTGAAAGGTTAATGGTAAACTTACCTTTAGCATGTAACATTTTCAAGTGGTCCACCGTGAGCTGCAGGATTTCTGCCTTTTCCAGTTTCGCACTGCCTTGTTTCTCACAAGCTGCCGGCACCAGCCTCTTCAGTTCCGTCAGAGAAGTGTTGATGCGATCTCGTCGCTTCTTCTCTATGACTCCTCGACGACGCTTTCTCGTCATCAACTGGCATGAGTCACCTCCTGGAGACCTGGAATTTGTGATGATGGATCCTATGATTAGATGGTAAGGTCTATTTAGGCGAAACTTTTAATGATAAAGCTGGATGAAGTTATGATGTGTTGTTATGTTGTCGATTAATGTGAATTTGCAGTGTGATTAGTATTGTAGTGTGAAATAGTGTATTTGTAGTGTGTATTTATAGTGTATTTGTAGTGTGTATTTATAGTGTAATTGTAGTGTGTATTTATAGTGTGTATTTATAGTGTATTTGTAGTGTAATTGTATTTGTTTTATTTTAGTTTGGCTTACAAACTTATATTTTGTATCTACATTGGTTAATGTTGGGATATTATTGTAACTTTAATTAAAAGTAAACTGCACACTGACCCAAAAATACTCAAGAAGGCAATTCTTCTTTGTAGGGACAAACAGTAGTTGAAGCAGTAAGGTATATATGACTTAACAGTGACATGTTTAACTAAATTCTTTGATAAAGCAAACAGTTAGTGGGTAATATAGTTTAATAATGTCTGAACAAGATAAGGATGTCTTTTTGTTATGTTTGTCGTGTCATGGTAACCTTCTAATAATATATTTGCTTAGCAAACATAATTAAATCGCAAATTTTCCTGTACTTTATATTAATATTGTAGATTTCCTCGCTATCTGGAACAAATTTTCCGAAAATTTGTGATATTAAAAAGGGTCGCTTCCGAAGAATTTGTGCGCATGCCTATTCATGGCGGAATACTCTTAGATGTAGGAACAATAGGAAAAATATTGCTTATTATACGATTAATTTTAATCTATCTGTACCTCAAATAAATATTAACTATTCAAATACTTACAAATATATGAACGTGCTACGCGGAATATAAATTGACAATAATTGCGTAGCATTTGCTACGAGCGTAGATAGCTACGCGGTGTTATATTGGCGGAAAATTATATGATCTGATTGGAAACTTCCATTTTATGTAGCTGATTAATATATCATAATATATTATTTTTATTAAGAAAAAAATATTGATATAAATTGCTTTTCTACGCGTATTTATTAGACATAGTATTTACGAAATATAATTTGGCTTGATATCATAATAGACGTTATTGGAATACAGAAAATTGTTTGTAATATCTACCTCGCAAAACATTTCGTAATTTACTGGTAGACGTTAATTGGGAAAATTATCAAAGGTACCGTTCTCGACTCGATGTTTTGTATTCAAATAATTTTCTTAGTAATATAAATTTGTACTCACTGCGCATCTTTACTACTTTCTTCAGAGAAGGCATCATCCTCACTCTCGGAGTGAGTTCTCTTATTACGTTGCGCAGGCGCAGGTGGAGCTGGAGCTGGTGCTGGTGGTCCCCAGCCATAGCCCCATTGAGAGGCCTGGCTCTGCAGCTGACCTGGCTGCTCCATATGCCGGTGGTGATACTCCATTGTCAACAAAAACTTTAAAGCACTTATCAGTTCAACACACAAATCACTGAAGTCTTCTTGGCCTAGTTTTTCAGTTATCACTTGTCTTTATCGGAAACTTGGTTAGTTAGGTCGAGGAGTGCGATCGTATGTAGTTGGGTCACGTGCGCGCGCGCCGGGCGACTGGCGCGGAGTGTGTGGCCGCGTGGCGCCCCGTGTCGCCTCGTGTGCCGCCGCCCTCGGCGACCTACCCTATACACAGGCCGCTTTATCTATCCCTCAATAACTATTGCCCACATTGCAAGTGATTTTGCACTTTATTCTTAACCAGATAAGAGTTTTAAAATTGTTATAATAAACTTGGTAATTTTTTTCACAGCCAAGATTGTATTTGCGTTTTAGGTTAGCAAATATCAGCGTTATGTCGTTGTAGTAAGAAAGTTTCACTTGCGTTTATGGGTCACTTAGTGATATTAATATTTGTTAAGTTCATTTTTATTAGAGGTTATGCGAAACTGAGGTTTGTTAGGAGGCGTGTAGAGTGTAGTTTAGCTTGGTGTTGCTATTTGAGGGTGTATGATATAGCCGCGTGGCAGGCGTACGGTGGGAAACTGCAGACAATTAGGTAACGCAATTTATTCTCTCCAATATTTGTGTGAATGTGAATTTCATATAGGGGAAGGGTTCCGGGGTAGTCGGAGGAGCGTGGGACGATGGCACGAGGATTAACTAGTCGAGAGCATTACGTACTCCAAGGGATTAGACCATGAAAAGAAAAATATGTATGAAAATATTTGAAACTTACTTGTTCCATTAATAATGGGCCATGAAAACTAATTTTACTGAAGTATTGAAATGGGTGGACTGATTACAAATCTGAAGGTATAAAAAGTACAGTTAAAACATCTTTGATCGTAATTGAAAAAACTAAAGAACATAAAAAGCATTCTAAAAACCTTTGACAATTATCTAAAGAAGTACCAGCTTTGAACGTTAAATCACAGAAGACAAAAAACAATTTTAAACTAATTAGAGTTAGGTTCGGTTAAGTAATTGTTACGTAATCACTGACGTCACTCCAACCGTCGCCGGCCACAAACCACAATGACCCGGGTCGGTAGCCGGACGCCCGGTCACGAGACCTGCACAGGCCGTGCACGGGCCGCACGAGCCGACAACGATTGGCACACGACCGCCGGATGCACGGCTTGTTGAGGTTAAATACCACATAGACACCTTGTTCAGATAACAATATTATATGATGAAATGGGCATATCGATAGTTGCTCTTGCAACTATAGCGACTAAAATAATGCTTAGAAAATTTTTTCGTTGTGTGAGCATTGTTATTAATTATCACATGATAAACCTGCTTTCTCTGTCAGTTGTCAAATATTCTTCGCATTTTTTTTGCATAGGTTCGTAAGTCATTATAAAATATTTCCACAACAAAAAATGACTAAATTTCAAACTGCAACGCGTCATAATTATTTCAGTAGGTAACTCGTAGTTAATATTTTATGTTAGTATATTATTTTTCATGAATTAGCGAGAAAAAGAAAAACAACCTTATTTATTTACTTTACTATTGATTTCTGTACTTAATATAGATACTTAATATTTTAAACTCCCTGATTAACTAACTTTAGTAATTTTGTGAAAAAATTTGATACATTCGGATTTTCGACTACGGTCGGTCAACTGCCTAATTCCGAGTTTTTCGAATGATTAACTTTCCTCGGGGAAAAAACCTGCGATCGGAACTTCTTAGTATTTCATGATTTATTTTGTTTTCTTTTTCCCTTGAGTGAATTTTCCTAATTACGTCAGATTGGAGGTAGAAAAGTCAAGGCTTGCCTGAAACTGACCTAGCTATAACATTGTTGGAGGTTTTGATAATTCTTTATTTTTATGGTATAAGTCCGCAAACGGCTTACGGATTACCTGATGGTAAGCAATCAGCGCCGCCCATGGATACCTGCAATATCAAAGGAGTTGTTGTTGAGTGCGTTGCCGGCCTTTTAGGGATAAGGGTTTGGGATATTTAAGGATTGGGAAGGGATGGGGGATAGGGAGGTATTGAGCCTCCGATAACCTCACTTACATGGCGAAACACAACGCTGTTTCACGCCGGTTTTCTGTGAGGCCGTGGTATCACTCCGGTCGAGCTGGCTTGGTTCTCCCTCATTTATTAATTCTTTCCATAATACCATTTTTAAGCAAACAGATCACCTGATAACTAGCTATCAGCGCTGTCCACGAACACCTGCACCATCAGAAAGTGGGAAATGTGTACAGATTGCAGTTTTTGGAATTGATACCCTAACCTAACGCGAAGAGCTTGAAGGTCAAATTCAAAGGCGTCATGGCGTAGTCACTAGCAGAAGACAGAAGCAGGCTGATGATGGTAATGATGATTCTATTCGCTCGAATCACCTGCGTACTCATCTATATTCGTTTGATTAAAGGTAGGTACTTTAGGAGAGAAGCGAAGAGATATGATATGAGCTGATGGTCGGCAATCATGTTTTCCCTTCCCTTGGACATCTAATATAACAGGAAATACAAGTGTTTTTCGGCCCTTTGGGAGGCTTATATCTTATTAATAAAACATAGGTATGTTTCCAGATTTCCGCGTAACACGTTTATTTCTTAAGGACTTTATTTGCTCAATATATTTGTGGTAATGTCCAAACTAAATCCATTCTCGGAAATATTATTTATATATTCTATATTCTAAGTCTAAGAGGACTTAATATATTTTGTTTATGACGATGCGGTGTTTTGAATAGTCTGTGAAAATTGGTATTTACAGCTAATCGGGAATTATTGTAGCATGACTTCTATTTTTTTTTTGTTGTGTTATTTGACAGGACTATAATATTATGATGTTCGTGTTCCATTCATGGGACCAAAGGTTCTCGGATCTTCGAAAGGCGAACGAAGGGCCGAAACCAACTCGCAAAGACTCTGAGAAACTTAATATTTTTTTATGTTATGTATATATGTTATAGTACGGCAAATGATCTGAAGGATTACCTGATGGTAAGTAATCAGCGCTGCCCATGGACTCTCGCAACCACGGAAGAATTATGGGTGGGTATATCCCAAAAGGGCGTTACCGACCTTTTGAAATTAGAGATTTTAAGATTTTGGGGTTGGGGAGGGAATATTGATGAAATGGGACATTAGCCGGCAATTATCCCTGTATGCACTATGAAAGTGCACCAAGGACAATCTCTGGTTGATGTTTGATTCCGGGTGATTTTCTGCCATGTAGCACAATAGTCCTGCTATTGTGCTATATGGTAGGAAATAATATGGCTATGAACTGGTATGATAACTATGGAAATACTATGTTATGATCATTGTTATTGAATCCGTTAAATGTCGACTTGTATGTTCCCTTTCTAATATATTATTATATAAACTAATATTATGGCGACAGTATTACGAACATTATCATAACATTAATGTCAATGACCATTAACTGGTCCTTCATAAACATCTTGAGACTCAATAAATTCGATCGGATTGGTCACTGACCCGGGTTCTAAGAAAAACGTAATTTATTCAGAGATGTGTACAAAATAAAACAGCACCTGTATGATCAAAAGGGTCAGACGTGACTCAATTGAGGCGATGGTCGATATTCTGCCCTAAATACATGGGATGCTATGGTTATGAAATATGCAAAAGCAAATTTTTCGTAGTACGTGCGAATCATGATCAATTCGTATTAAGGCTATCAGAAAGAAATCGCTCTAAATAACATGAGCGCTTATATAGGATAAAATAAATTATTTATTAGAAAGTGATCTATTTATTATTCGAGTAAATACACAGAAATGACAGAAGAAAGTAAATCAACTACGTCACTTTTACCGCGTCTGCAGATAATTCTTACCGAAAACCTGCGTGAAACACACGTGCCCGATCCTCTATCCCTATCCCCATCCTCAATCCCCAAATCTCTAACCCCACAAAACGGCAACACAATTGAAACTCTTCTCCTTTGGTGCTCTATCACGTTATCCATCTGCTCGTTTGCCGACAACCTTCCATTGGAAACCAAAACAATAAAACTAATTACTGCCTTTTTTCTGCAAAATGATTTTCCAACACGAGTTATATGCACAAGGCTTTTTACAAGAAACAACCTAAACCTTATTGGAACAAGCTTAAGCTTTATCTTGTGCTAAAAAAAGCAAAGATTACCGCCTCCTCGAACGACAATCTTGGCAACACATTATGGTTGAAAGCACTGATCTTTGCAAACAAGATTCGTATCAAATAAGGAGTTTGTTGACGCAAAATCAGAAGAAAAGAAGATTTCACTAATCCCCTTCTACGGATGAGTAGCACACAATCTAATGAGACGAGTACAGCTTCGGAGCTTAGAGCCGTAAAATCGTATAAAGCATATCAACATACTCCAATCTTCCATAGGTCTTCAAAACATTTCCGACTTAATTGCTTTGAAGTAAAGTCAATATTACGTTGGAAAATTGTCAAATTGGAGGGTAAGTTTGCTTGCTGTTGGTGCATGGAACCGTTTTAGGAGTAGGTACAGTTTGTTGAGAAGGATTTTTGTAGCAAAAGGGACTTTTTTATAACGAGTGCTTTGTTCTAACGAGGTATAGGGGTGAATGCTGAGATGACGAAAAGGAACCGCAAATTAGTTTCAACTGTAGACAATTTATCTTTCTGTAGCAAAGTTTCTCTGAAAAAATTACACTGAGCGAGAAGACTTCCAAATTTTCTGTATCTTAGTAGAATTAATTAGTTTTAGTTGTACCTCTTTTTTTACAAATTTTGGCAATGAAAACTGTTCGGGTGTATGTGCTACAAAACATTCTTAGTTCAATGCGATTAGATTAGTTTTAGTTATCTTCAATTTAATCTAGGTTTTTATATAATTTTGACGTGGCCTATTTGTACTAATAAATTAATTGTTTCATCTATTAAGAGTAAAATTTTACATGTCGTGTACAGAACTCGTAAAACATCACCCTAGGATTG